GATCTCATAAATGTTCAATCAACTCATTAATTGCAATTATTTTATCAACAACTTTATTGATATATAACTTGAATTCAATATACTTGGAGTTTGTACATTTTTAATAAAATGTAAATTAAATTTGTCAAAAGTTACATTAAAAAACACTCTTTTATTCCATTCTTTCTATTGTTCAATAACAAATTGAATATCTCTCCTCCCAAACATGACCAAATTTACTTCATGCTATCTCTTACAATTTGTTGTCCTATATGGTTACTCTACCCATTTGTGCAGCCTTTAATTAGGCTTAATTATATGCAATTTCTTCTGAGAGTTCCTAAAGTTAGGCTAAGAACATATAGAATCTTGCAGTTTCATAAATGAACACTTGTTAGGCTCTCATGTAAATAACACATTGAGGGCTAAGGTAAAATGATTCTTGTTAAGTCCTGGTGGTCTAATATAGAATAAAGTAATTATAAATTACAAATACTGAATTTTGACCATCATAAAATGATAGTTGAAACCAAGGTCACTAACGGTATGCAATGAAACTCTTTAAAAAATACAACATAAGTAGTTTTGAATTGTCAAAACTTAGTAAAAGTAAAAGTTAGTCATTATCCTTTGTTTAGAAAGATAAGGAAGTGTAGAAGTTTGCATTCCAGTTGCTATAACTTTTAAAGTAAATCTGTGCATTAATTTACCATCATGAAGTTGGATTTCTATCTCTAAATCTGTTTACTAAAAGATGTACGCGCTGGTTCTCCCCCCCCCCCCCCCATAGTAATAGAACTGGGATAAAAAGAAAATCTACTGGGATAAAGACTAAATTTACCTATGCATGTGATACTTTCTAGACACTCAATAAATGTTTTGTCATCCACCTTTATTTAGAAATTGCTTTAGTAGGGGTTTTCCTTTTAGTCTCAAGATACATTAAAGTATCTACAAGAAAGATTATGTAGTGAAATAAGCTTAGGAAATCCTGCATTAAGTAAAGCTTACTGTCTTCTGTTCCACAGAATTCCTCAGGATCTTCAGTGTTTAAAAGAACATTGTAATGTGAAGCAATAGTGATCTGGCAGATACAATTACCAATGTATTTTGTCACAAACACTTTATACAAGGGACACCTACTAACACTCCAGACCAAATTTTGGGAATGCTAGGCTAAAGTAAAGCGCACGGGAGAAAGGAATTCTAATATGACTCATGGAAGGATAGTGATATATTATAGTTAAAAACAATAGGAAGCAAGACAAATTTACAATGAAAGATTACATCAACTTTGAGCATAATGAGGTTCCTTTCCTGTCTGGATTATGTGAGTGGTATATGTGTAAGACTCATGCTCAGGAAAGAGGACAGGCCAAGGATTATATATTATTATTGACTGTCTAGAAAATTATCACACAGTCTCAGCATCACATTATAATTAATTCTGCTATCATTTTACTAATATTAAAGATACCAAGCTTGCAAGAGATTTTCTTTTCAAAGAAATCAAAGGCCATTGCAGACTTCTCTACATAACAAAAAGAAGAAAATTTTCTTCTTAGTAACTGATGAATGAAAATATACTTTGATAATTTCTCTGAGGGTGAAGACTTGCTTCTAGTTTCTCAAATTAATAGTAGTAAGTAGAACTTCCCCACATGAGAAAAGGAAAAGTGTGTGAGCTTTCTCCTCTAATAAAGAGAAGCTATAAGTATCAGAATGTCAAAGTTTAGATGAATAGAAAGATGAATGTTTGAGAGCAGAAGGAGGAAGAAATGTGAGAGAGAGACATTTAATGGAGTGTTTACAATAGTCTCTGCTGTGTGATATACCTAATCTTCATGCTCTAGAACTGAAGTTCTAAAAAAAAAAAAAAAAAGGGAAAGAAAAAAACAATATATTCATTTTTCCTTTTTTTTTTTTTTTAATTTTACAGAATACATGACAGGTTCTTCTTTCATGAAAAAATGGAGCAGCCAACATCCATGTGACTCTTTAGTTTACTTTGTTGGCTATCAGCCCAAATTTTCCTGCTTTGTCTCAGGTATTCTCCCAGAGAAACCTAACCTCTTTCTCAGCTCAGGAGAAGATTCTGTTTTGTGTAAGATAATCATGGTATTCTCCTTTCCAGGATTGTTTCAAGAATGTGCAGGTGACCTGATTCTGGCCACTGAGATTACATGGAGAAGGCTTCCTTTCACAAAAGTTTTCTGAGCTCCTGAGAAATGTGCCCCAAAAGTGCCTTTCCCTCTGGATATTTTCATGTCTCGATGTGAGGCCTAGAGAGCAATACCTACCATGTAGCCAATCTGAAGAGGAAAGAGGCAAAAGAACCACAGAACACAGACATAAAGACTGGGGACATCATAAATATGCTTACCGCTTAAACCAGTTTAAGATTTTTGCTTCTTGCAGGAAAAAGTACATAAATTAATGTACACCCATAATAGCATAATTCTAATTAGATGACATTCTGAAAGCTTTGTTAGGGAAGAGAAAGCAATGCAGTTAGACCCACCCTTAACAAAATATTTTGTGATCTGCAGGCATTTTGCAGGGTGATTTTGTGACTACCATCCCCATCTTTCTTTGCCCTCCTACTCCAGCATTCAGGGAGACCCAAAGTATTTACCTTTCGTAGATAAAAAGAAACTTGGGAAAGGAAAGCTTCTTGGAATTCAAGAACAGTGAGAACTTCCTAACAGGAGTTATGACCTGTCAATGGACAAAGCCTGCCTGTATCAACCAGCCAAAAAGGTACAAAGTGGGGAAATACTCTTACCTTACTCTAATTTCCTGAATTATCTTCTCCCATTGACTAAACCAAAGGAGGACAGAGTGGAGTTGTGAGATAAAATATATGGCACCCAGTAAAATGTGCATTTCAAACAAATCTAAGTATTCATAATATATATGGAATGAAGCTTACTTACACTAAAAATTATTTAAATTTTCTAAATTAGCAGCTCTAAAACAATTTTTAGAAAAAACATCATTTTGAATAATATATATCACAGCTTGACAACATAGATAGATATAAATATGTAAATAAACACACACACCCTTCTGCCCCCAACTGGCAAACTCATCATTATTATGGGGCCACTGTTACCCAAAGTTTGAGTTTCATATAAAATATAAATACTTCCTATTTTTATTCAATTAAAAGTAGAATTTAAATTAGTTTACTTTTTTAATTTGCCACACAATCATAAGCTTAACTATGCTAGATAAATGAATTTTCTAGTAAGAATAAAATACACAGTTCATAAAATAAAATTCCATCAAGTACCACCTAAAATTGTACAGCATACCTTCAGTTGTACACGTGCTAAACTTTGGGAAATTCTGGAAGTCTATGAAAAGAAGGGTATACTCATTAATATAGAATATAAGATTTTGTTTTCACAACCCCAGCAAAAAAATGGACAGAAGAGTTAAAAAGACACTTCTCCGGGCCCTCCCTGGTGGCACAGCGGGTTAAAGCACAGCACAAAGAAGCTTAGACTACTTCCGCAAGAGTTTGATTCCCACCTGCACCGGAGGTGATCCACATGGCGAGGCAGACCTCTCCTGACCCACCTGCTGCTCCCCTCAGCAGTGTACTTTGTCGATCTGCCTGTTCTGTACCCCGCTCTGAGTCTGGTGAATCCTCTCACCCTCTGTATCTCTGGCCTGTACCCCAGTTCTGTATGAATAAATAAATAAATCTTAAAAAAATAAAAAGACACTTCTCCATAGAGGAAATGCAGACAGCCAACAAACATATGAAAAAATGTTCAACATCACTGTAACAAGGGAGACGCAAATTAAAACCACAATGAGGGACCACCTCACACCAGTGAGAACGGCACATTTTAAAACAACTAGAACAACAAATGTGGTGAGGATATGGAGAAAAAGCAACTCTCCTCCACTGCTGATAGGAATGCAAACTAGTACAACCATTATGAAAAACTGTTTGGAGGTTTCTCAACTGCTAAAAATGGAGCTTCCATATGACCCAGCAATCCCACTCCTAGGTATCTACCCAAAAAACACAAAAGCATTGATTCAAAAGGACACCTGTACCCCCATGTTTATTGCAGCTTTATTTACAATAGGGAAGACATGGAATCAACCCAAATGCCCAAACGTAGGTGACTGGATTAAAAAGATGTGGTACATATACACAATGGAATATTGTTCGGCAATCAAAAAATATTCAATTCATGCTTTTTGCAGCAACATGGATGGAGTTGGAAGGGATTATGCTTAGTGAAATAAGCCAGAAAGAAAAGAAAAATACCAGATGGTTTTACTCATAGCAGGAGTGTAAGGGGTCAGGGGGATGGAAAAAACAATTGTAATAAAGAAAAGATGAAAAACAATAAACTACTATATAGCAGAGACATTTTATGGGTGGAGTGGGGAATGGGATCAAAAATGGGGTGGGAAAGGTGCACAGAACTATGGTGATGACACAGGTGAATTGGTAGTGGGAAGTCCACGGGTATTACAACCCAGATGGAAAAAGGCACAAAACTAAGAATAATGTAACAATAAATTTTAAAAAATAATAAAAAATGAAAGAAGTGTTCAATTGCAAAATAAATCATAAATTTTTCAGTTAAAAAAAAAAGAAATAATATTCAGCAATCAAAAAAGATAAACTCAAGCCAACAGCAACATGGATAGAGCTTGAAGGGATGATACTTAGTGAAGTAAGTCAGAAGGAAAAAGAAAAATATGGGATGGTTTCGCTTATAAGAGGAATGTAGGGGAACCAAATAAGAGAACAGGAAAAAAATAATTATAATGAACAAAATTAACACACAACTTTAAATCAGACACTCACTGGGAACAGGGAAGAAGATGGATCAAAATAGGGGAGGGCTGGTGCACAGGTGAACTGGTGGTGGTAATTCTATGGGGACTACAGCTGAGAGGAAAAAGCAAACATTGTACAAAAATTAACAATGACATAAAACATATATAAATAATTTTTTTAAATTTTGTTTTTATAGTAGTATTTCCATTCCAAAGTAGTATTTCCATACTGCAGTTATTAAGACAAACATTGTCAATTGTTACATCCATTATTCCTTCATTAGAGTATCTGACTCCTTTAATTATTTTAAAAAGGGGACAATGGGACCACCAGTTAATGGGTAGAGTTTTTGTTTTTCATATGAATTAGCATAAATCCCACTCTCATCATGCCAAGTGTTGATACCAAATCTTTTGGAACCATTTAGATCTGTGAACTGAGAACAGCATTTTCTGTGGACTATTGAATAATCATCTTGACAAGGATAATCCTATGGAGGGAAAAAAAAAAGAAATAATATTGAATGACTGAAATATGTAAAGAAGAGTGATTCCCAAAAGGTAATCTTCAATGTGTTAATCTTATGATAAAGGATAATTTTAAAAAAACTGGCCAATTTAATCTCTCAAATTATAGATGCCTCAATAAAAAAAATTGACCTATATTTTTAGTTGCTTCTTACTCTAAAAGAAAAATCTAGTTGTTTTACTTATAAATCTAAGATGCTATAATACATGTGAAAATTTTCTAAACTGTAAATGTGCAGTTTAAAGAACAATTTATTTTTTATGATTATCTACACATAAGATCAAAACAATGACAATGACAATTTAACCACCATTCAATACCTTTTTAAATTAATGCTAGTTACAATTATTCCAAAGACTAATAGTTTCAGTTATATCTTTCACACATGCTACCAAGTCATACTTCCCAATATGTTTGCCAAACTCTAAGATTCACTCCTACCAGAAATTTGCCTCAACATAACCTAAATAATGTCTAAGGTATTTATCATTAGCACTGATAAAAGCTTCTATTGGAATAAAACAAGATACCATCATTGACCATTTTCCAGGGAAAATAAATTCTTTTCAGATTATACCAAAGTTAATGACAAATATGGAACACAAAAACCTTGAACTGATTATGTAATTCCTGCTTGAAATTGGTACTATTTTAAAGTACTTGTACAATAGTGAAGTTAAATCACCAAAACTATTAAACAATGAAAGAATTCCAATAGCTCTAACCTTAGATTGGCTTTACTGAAAAATTTAGTTGTAACAATCATTCTAATGTCTATGTATTTACTGTGTGCCTATTATAAGTTGGGCAAGGCAGTTGATTATTTATGTCTTTTTATCCATAATATCTCTGAAGTAGGAACTATTGCTTCCACTTTGCATATAAGAAAAGGTGGTTTGCTTTAGATCTCAGAAGGAGAGTTTTTAAAAATACCAACATCAATGAGAGAATTATTTATAATGCCAATATTAAGGAATTCAGCCAGAGTCAAGCTAACTAACCATAAGACCCACTATCGCTCAAGGACCCTGATGACATTTTTATACTTGATCTTAGCCAAAAGGCCAAGAAGCAATCATGAAAGTTTTAATAATTAAGTGATGAAAAGTAAACTAAAGAAATCTAAACAATAAAACTATATGTATCACTTTCTAAAAAGGCTTTTGCTTTTTGCCACTGGGATCTACTGGGAATGGAGGGTAACTTGTACTGATAGAAGCTCTTTAAATGATATTTGAGCATTACTTGCCCCAATTGCCCTCTCAGAGGAAGGCAGGAACTAGTCTTCCATTAGTATATCCTGTCCAGACAGAAAGGCTTATTTCAAGGAGGTGACTGACAAGATAAAACATGATGTCTGAGGAAAGGTATCCTGGTATCAGAAAGTACTACAAACTGAAGTCAGAAAGTACTACATTACAAAACTGGATTTCAATAACTCACATGTCATCATTTCATGGATGAATAAGCAAATGTGTTATATACACACAAGAATCAGTTGGCAATAAAAGGAATATAATATAGATAGCTGCTGTAGCCTAGATGAATCTTGAAAACAACATTTATGCTAAGGGAAGGGAGTTAAACCAAAAATCACATATTGTATGATTTCTTGTATAAACTGTCCAAAATAATCAAGTCCACGGAGACAAAAAATAGCTTTTCCAGGGGAAGGGAGAGGAGGAAAAATAAAAATGACTATTAATAGGTGTGATAATAATTTTCTAACAGATTTATTATTGCATACAGAACTGGGGTACTGGCCAGAGGTGCAGGGACACTCTGTCACCAGAGACCGAGTGGGGAACAGAACAGACAGACTAACAAAGTACACTGCTGAGGGGCGCAGTAGGCAAGACAGGAGAAGTCTGCCAGACCATGTGGGTCACCTCCCTGGCCAGGATCAAATTCGTGCTGAAGCAGCTGTAGCTAGCTTCATAGTACAGCACTTTAACCTGCTGTGCCATGAGGGAGGGCCAGTGTGAGATAACTAATTTTATGTTAAACTTGACTGGATCATGGGGTACCCAAATGTTTGGATAAATATTATTTCTGACTTGGTCTGTGAAGGTGTTTCCAGATGAAATTAGCATTTAAGTTGGTGGACTCAATTAAGCAGTTTGCACTCCCCAGGTTTGGATGGGTAGCAGCCAATCTATTGAGGGCTTGAATAGAAGAAAAAGGCAGAGGAATTTGGCCCTTTGCTGCCTGATTGCTTGAGATGAAAAATTAATTTTATCTTGTTCTTGGTAGTTCTGGTTCTCAGGCCTTCAGATGAACTGAATTAATTACTCCACTCACTTTCCTGATCACCAACTTGCAGCAAGCAGATCATGAGACTTCTCAACCTCCATAATTACATAAGCCCTAACAAATTGATGTGGGGGGGGGAGGGAGGGAGAGAGGAGAGAAAGGAGGAAGGGAGGGAAAGAGGGAGGAAGGGAGAAAGGGAAGGAGGGAAGGGGAGATAGGAGAGGGAGAGAGAGAGAGTAGATAGATAGATATCTCTCAGTTTTTGTATAAAGCATGACTAATACAATGACCACAGCCTTTCTTTTGGGTTGATGAAAATGTTTTGAGATTGATTATGATGATGGTTATATCACCTGTGGATACATTTAAAAATCACATCACTGTTGGCTCTCCCTGGTGGCACTGTGGGGTAAAGCACAGCACTAAGAAACTAAAGCCACTTCAACATGAGTTTGATCCCTGTCCCAGGGGTGACCTACATGGCACGCCAGACCTCTCGTGACACGCTGTGACCCTCAGCAGTGTACTTTGTCAGTAGGCCTGCTCCCCACTCTGTCTCTGGTGAAGCCTCTCACCGCCCCTGCAACTCTTGCCTGTACCCCAGTTCTGTATGCATAAATAAATAAATATTTTAAAAAATCACAGCACTGTAACTTTTAAAAGGCAAATTTTATTAAATATTAATTGTAATTATTAAATTATATCATTAAATTATAATCAGTAAAACTGTAATTTTTTAAAAAGTGAATCAAAACCACAATGAGATACTACCTCACACCAGTGAGAATGACACAAATTAAAAAAAAAATAGCAACAACAAATGTTGGTGAGGATGTGGAGAAAAAGGAACTCTTCTACACTGCAGGTGGGAATGCAAACCGATACAACCACTATGGAAAGCTGTTTGGAGGTTTCTCAACTGCTAAAAATGGAGTTTCCATATGATCCAGCAATTCTACTCCTAGATATCTATCCAAAGGAGACAAAAACATTAATTCAAAAGGATACCTACACTCCTATGTTTATTGCTGCTCTATTTATAATAGGGAAGATGTGGAATCAACCCAAATGCACAAAAACAGATGACTAGAACAAGAAGATGTGGTACATATATACAATGGAATATTATTCAACAATCAAAAAAGATAAACTCATGCCATTTGCAGCAACATGGATGGAGATGAAGTGATCATGCTTAGTGAAGTAAGCCAGCTAGAAAAAGAAAAATACAAAATGGTTTCATTCATAGCAGGCATGTAAGGGATCAGGAAAAAAAAGAAGCAAGTATAATAAAGAAAAAATGAAAATCAACAAACAACTAAAAACCAGAGATGTTCTACAGGGATAGAGAGGGGAATAGGATCAAAACTAGGGCAGGAAGAGCACATAGGACTATGGTGGTGGTGAAAAGCGCACAGGACTATGGTAAATTGGTGGTGGAACATCCATGGGAATTACAATCAAGATGAAAAAAAAATGTACAAAATGAAGACACACACACACACAAATAAAATTTAAAAAGAGAAAAACTAGTTCAGAGACCACTGCTATTACACAGATGAAATTTGGAGTGCCTCTCATTATCAGAGGTTTATTATAAGTCAGCTCTCAAAAAAATAAATAAATAACTCACAAAACTGACTTGTAATATCTTTCATTTTCTGTGGTATAAATATATATGGTCCTTGTAGTTGACCTCAAGCTACCAAAACAAGGTCAGTTAAGGAAGACACACGCATATCAGCATGCACAACTTACGCAGCAGCTCCAGCTCATTCTGAATGTACTTCTCTAATTTTCCACTATGTAAGGCAGTTTGGGTAGAATGCCTATACTCCCAGCTCTAGGAGTAGAATCTAATTGGTTTAAGGATAATCCTACTCTACTCTCAAAGACAATGTTTTCCAAAGATAGTAAAGCCCCATCATTTTCCCAAAATGAGAGCAAAATTTGTTTCTGAAAAAAATGGCAATCAAAGAGCAAAATAATATCAGCTTCTATTATGCAACATGGGGTTTTCAACAAGACAATAACCATGAAATCCAACTCCTGATGTCTTGAGGATTTTATTGGCCAAACACAAAAGACTCAAATCATAAAGTTCTTCAAACATATAGAAAAGAAAATGCTTTGCCATTAAGATTTTAAACAAAAGTTGAAAAGATGAGGATAAGGAAGAGTCTGGCTGCGAAACTGAAGGAAGGAAAATAAAAGGGAAAGGAAAAGAGGATAGTCAAAATAATTAATGTACTTTCCCATTCCTACACTTGAATAAGGCAGAATTCCTTTGGCCTAGACAGAGAGAAGTGCATTAGATAAATGAAAATAATGGCAGAAAGGTACAGTGGGATCTCCTGGCCCCCATCCTTCATGAGAACTCTTGAAGCTGCCCTTTTATTTTCCTGGGACACAGCCCTACCCAAATTGGTCAGGTAGCATGGTCAGGCCAGGAAGAGGGAGACTCAGAGATATCAATACAGAGTCACTTTTAGTATCCGGTGGCAAAAACAAGATCCCAAGTGAACTGGAAGTCTGCAGAGGTGTTTCAACTCTCAGCTGCAGACCTAAACATTACAGGCAGACTGAATGGGAGTCACGGAAGTCCTCTGTGGTGTCAATAGTATCTACAGAAATGGAAATGAAAATAAGTTTTCTGAAATATGTCATCTGGTTCCACCCAACCACAGGAAGAATGAGAAATAGAAATAT